AGTACACACACACACACACTTGGATCTATACTGTTTCTGATATATGTAAATGATCTCCCAGAGGGTATAGACTCGTTTCTCTCAATGTTTGCTGATGTAAAAATTATGAGGAGGATTGAAACAAGAGGATAATAGTAGGAGGCTACAAGATGACCTAGACAGACTGTCTAGGTCTCTGACTTTAACAGCCAACAAATGGCTGTTAAAGTTCATCCCGAGTAAATGCAAAGTAATGAAACTAGGCGGTGAAAACAGAAGGCCAGACACAGGATACAGAATAGCAGATGAAGTACTTAATGAAACGGACAAAGAAACGGTTTCCGTAAAACCGTACTTAATGAAACCGTCAAGTCCAAGTAGAGGAACACACGTGGGAAGTGTTTGCGGGTCATTTAAGAGGTTACTGACCTTTCTAACTCAATATTTTATCTCCCGCTCCCAGTTTGGGTGACCCACTCACATGACCAAGATGCTCAAAACGCCATAGAAAACGAACTCAACGGGAAACTTAACGTATGAGGTGAAGAGAAGAGAATGGTGATGGGGACGGTGCTGATAATGTTGGTGATAGTGAGGAGGAGGATGGAGACGGTGATGATAATGTTGGTGATAGTGAGGACGATGGTGATGGGGACGGTGATGATAATGTTGGTGATAGTGAGGACGATGGGGACGGTGATGATAAATGTTGGTGATAGTGAAGATCTCTATCGCGATTATATTGATAGAGAATCGCGATTATATTGATAGAGAATCGCGATTATATTGATAGAGAATCGCGATTATAGTGATGATTAATACGAAAATTAAGCCGATAATTTGAAATGATTTAAACATTAAGATAAAGAAAACGAATGATGAAAAGCCAGCTTTGCCTCGTGAGTGGTCGAGAGGCAGGCACTTGTGTGGTACTTGACATGACCTCGTGAGTGAGTGGTCGTGGAGTGGTCGAGAGGCAGGCACTTGTGTGGTACTTGACATGACCTCGTGAGTGAGTGGTCGTGGAGTGGTCGAGAGGCAGGCACTTGTGTGGTACTTGACATGACCTCGTGAGTGAGTGGTCGTGGAGTGGTCGAGAGGCAGGCACTTGTGTGGTACTTGACATGACCTCGTGAGTGAGTGGTCGTGGAGTGGTCGAGAGGCAGGCACTTGTGTGGTACTTGACATGACCTCGTGAGTGAGTGGTCGTGGAGTGGTCGAGAGGCAGGCACTTGTGTGGTACTTGACATGACCTCGTGAGTGAATGGTCGTGGAGTGGTCGAGAGGCAGGCACTTGTGTGGTACTTGACATGACCTCGTGAGTGAGTGGTCGTGGAGTGGTCGAGAGGCAGGCACTTGTGTGGTACTTGACATGACCTCGTGAGTGAGTGGTCGTGGAGTGGTCGAGAGGCAGGCACTTGTGTGGTACTTGACATGACCTCTTTATACCTAACTGCATGAAACGTTTTGTGGCAATTTGTGAGTTATATTATATTGGAATGACAATACCATTGTACTGATTTTGTTGACACTGGGAGACACGGGGCTTTAGTGAGTCAAGATCGTGTGATTAGTGTAGTGTGGTGTGTGTGTATGGGGTGTAGTGTGGTGTGTGGGGTGTAGTGTGGTGTGTGTATGGGGTGTAGTGTGGTGTGTGTATGGGGTGTAGTGTGGTGTGTGGGGTGTAGTGTGGTGTGGGGTGTAGTGTGTGGTGTGGGGTGTAGTGTGTGGTGTGGGGTGTAGTGTGTGGTGTGGGGTGTAGTGTGGTGTGTGGGGTGTAGTGTGGTGTGTGGGGTGTAGTGTGGGGTGTAGTGTGGTGTGTGGGGTGTAGTGTGGTGTGTGGGGTGTTGTGTGGTGTGTGGGGTGTAGTGTGGTGTGTGGGGTGTAGTGTGGTGTGTGGGGTGTAGTGTGGGGTGTAGTGTGGGGTGTAGTGTGGGGTGTAGTGTGGTGTGTGGGGTGTAGTGTGGGGTGTAGTGTGGTGTGTGGGGTGTAGTGTGGTGTGTGGGGTGTAGTGTGGTGTGTGGGGTGTAGTGTGGTGTGTGGTGTGTAGTGTGGTGTGTAGTGTGGTGTGTGGGGTGTAGTGTGGTGTGTGGGGTGTAGTGTGGTGTAGTGTGGTGTGTAGTGTGGTGTGTGGGGTGGTGAGCGGGGTGTAGTGTGGTGTGTGGGGTGTAGTGTAGTGTGTGGTGTGTGGGGTGTAGTGTGGTGTGGTGTGTGGGGTGTAGTGTGGTGTGTGGGGTGGTGAGCGGGGTGTAGTGTGGTGTGTGGGGTGGTGAGCGGGGTGTAGTGTGGTGTGTGGGGTGGTGAGAGGGGTGTGGGGTGTAGTGAGGGGTGTAGTGTGGTGTGTGGGGTGGTGAGGGGGGTGTTGTGTGGTGTGTGGGGTGGTGAGGGGGGTGTAGTGTGGTGTGTGGGGTGTAGTGTAGTGTGTAGTGTGGTGTGGTGTGTGGGGTGTGGTGTGGTGTGTGGGGTGTAGTGTGGTGTGTAGTGTGGTGTGTGGGGTGTAGTGTGGTGTGTGGGGTGTAGTGTGGTGTGTGGGGTGTAGTGTGGGGTGTAGTGTGGTGTGTGGGGTGTAGTGTGGTGTGTGGGGTGTAGTGTGGTGTGTGGGGTGTAGTGTGGTGTGTGGGGTGTAGTGTGGGGTGTAGTGTGTGTGTGTGGGGTGTAGTGTGGTGTGTGGGGTGTAGTGTGGTGTGTGGGGTGTAGTGTGGTGTGTGGGGTGTAGTGTGGTGTGTGGGGTGTAGTGTGGTGTGTGGGGTGTAGTGTGGTGTGTGGGGTGTAGTGTGGTGTGTGGGGTGTAGTGTGGTGTGTGGTGTGTAGTGTGGTGTGTGGGGTGTAGTGTGGTGTGTGGGGTGTAGTGTGGTGTGTGGGGTGTAGTGTGGTGTGTGGGGTGTAGTGTGGTGTGTGTGGTGTAGTGTGTAGTGGGGTGTAGTGTGGGGTGTAGTGTGGTGTGTGGTGTGTAGTGTGGTGTGTAGTGTGGTGTGTGGTGTGTAGTGTGGTGTGTAGTGTGGTGTGTGGGGTGTAGTGTGGTGTGTGGGGTGTAGTGTGGTGTGTGGGGTGTAGTGTGGTGTGTGGGGTGTAGTGTGGTGTGTGGGGTGTAGTGTGGTGTAGTGTGGTGTGTAGTGTGGTGTGTGGGGTGGTGAGCGGGTGTAGTGTGGTGTGTGGGGTGTAGTGTAGTGTGTGGTGTGTGGGGTGTAGTGTGGTGTGTGGGGTGGTGAGCGGGGTGTAGTGTGGTGTGTGGGGTGTAGTGTAGTGTGTGGTGTGGTGTGTGGGGTGTAGTGTGGTGTGGTGTGTGGGGTGTGGTGTGGGGTGTAGTGTGGTGTGTGGGGTGGTGAGCGGGGTGTAGTGTGGTGTGTGGGGTGGTGAGCGGGGTGTGGGGTGTAGTGTGGGGTGTAGTGTGGTGTGTGGGGTGGTGAGCGGGGTGTAGTGTGGTGTGTAGGGTGGTGAGCGGGGTGTGGGGTGTAGTGCGGGGTGTAGTGTGGTGTGTGGGGTGGTGAGCGGGGTGTAGTGTGTGATGGCCAGACCTCGCCCCATCCAGGACACAATGACTCATAACTATAATAGTTCAGTGTCTCCCATCATTACCATTACCCACATGGACCTCCAGCTCTCATTCTCTCCTCCTCTCTCCAAGATGATACTCGCCTCTCTACTCTACCTTGTAGATCTCTAAGACTCTTTGACGTCTCGACCACTCCACCATCTTCCCGTTCTTCCTTTGGTTTAGTGAGGTCACGACCTCCTGGCCTTTCCTCACTGTGTAATCCCCTCATAGCTTGGCCTCAGCTGGTGGTGGTGTCCTGACGTGGGGCTTCGGCCTCACCTTCACTACCTCCAGAAGGCCATACCCATTCTTGCGGTCATTGTCATTTCAATCTCTTGCACTTAATGGAATTTGTTTGCACTTGCAGACGTTCAGGTGCCATTTAGCTTTGGCTCCTAAGTTTACTTAGGAGCAACAGGAGTCTGTTACCGTCTCCCTGGTCGTGTATATAAGGCTCCAGGTGTGTGTTGTATATGAGGCTCCAGGTGTGTGTTGGATATGAGGCTCCAGGTGTGTGTTGTATATGAGGCTCCAGGTGTGTGTTGGATATGAGGCTCCATGTGTGTGTTGGATATGAGGCTCCAGGTGTGTGTTGGATATGAGGCTCCAGGTGTGTGTTGGATATGAGGCTCCAGGTGTGTGTTGGATATGAGGCTCCAGGTGTGTGTTGGATATGAGGCTCCAGGTGTGTATTGTATATGAGACTCCAGGTGCGTGTTGGATATGAGGCTCCAGGTGTGTGTTGTATATGAGGCTCCAGGTGTGTGTTGTATATGAGACTCCAGGTGTGTGCTGCGAGGTGGGATTCGAAGTATGTACTCGCCCAGATAAGTTTGCTGTGGTTTGAGCGATTGAGCTTTAGCCATGCCTTTCTCCCGGAACTAGTTCGATGCCTGTGGCGTATAGTGACAAATATAACGTGTCCGCAGTTCTGATATAATAACTATCTATCGAACAGCATGTCTGTTTGTCCAGAGACCGAGGTCGCCCCCAGTGCCACTACTTAATAAATAAAAATTCCAATAGCGACCACCTTCCATCTGCATAACATTTCATCATAACAATCACGATCAATTGCAGGGTTGATCTAAAGCTCAACCCCCGCAAGCACAACTGGTGGACACCAATAGAGGAAGGTTGTGAGAGAGCTTGTAGAGAACAAAGAACATAAGGAAGGGTTGAGAGGAGGCGTGTTGTGGAGGCGGGTTAGTGAAGCGGCCGCCAGAGGGCCGCCCGCGTCAGCTTGGTTAAGGCGGTGTAATTGAAAATGGCTGACCGCCCCACTGCTATCGATCTCCGGCCATCATTGCTACCAGCTGACGGCGCTGCGTCTGCTGTACGTGCTGCTGCTGCTGCTGCTGCTGTACGTAGTGCTGCTGGTAATGCTGCTGTACGTGCTGCTGCTGTAATACTGCTGTACCTGCTGCTGCTGCTGCTGGTAATGCTGCTGTACCTCCTGCTGCTGCTGCTGGTAATGCTGCTGTACCTGCTGCTGCTGGTAATGCTGCTGTACTTCCTGCTGCTGGTAATGCTGCTGTACCTGCTGCTGCTGCTGGTAATGCTGCTGTACGTAGTGCTGCTGGTAATGCTGCTGCTGCTGCTGCTGGTAATGCTGCTGTACGTAGTGCTGCTGGTAATGCTGCTGCTGCTGCTGCTGCTGGTAATGCTGCTGTACGTAGTGCTGCTGGTAATGCTGCTGCACGTGCTGCTGCTGGTAATGCTGTACGTGGTGCTGCTGGTAATGCTGCTGCACGTGCTGGCTAATGCTGCTGTACGTGGTGCTGCTGGTAATGCTGCTGCACGTGCTGCTGCTGGTAATGCTGCTGCACGTGGTGCTGCTGGTAATGCTGCACCTGCTGCTGCTGGTAATGCTGCTGCACGTGGTGCTGCTGGTAATGCTGCTGCACGTGGTGCTGCTGGTAATGCTGCTGTACGTGGTGCTGCTGGTAATGCTGCTGCACGTGCTGCTGCTGGTAATGCTGCTGCACGTGGTGCTGCTGGTAATGCTGCTGCACGTGGTGCTGCTGTACGTGGTGCTGCTGGTAATGCTGCTGCACGTGCTGCTGCTGGTAATGCTGCTGCACGTGCTGCTGCACGTGGTGCTGCTGGTAATGCTGCTGCACGTGGTGCTGCTGGTAATGCTGCTGCACGTGGTGCTGCTGGTAATGCTGCTGCACGTGCTGCTGCTGGTAATGCTGCTGCACGTGCTGCTGCTGGTAATGCTGCTGCACGTGGTGCTGCTGGTAATGCTGCTGCACGTGGTGCTGCTGGTAATGCTGCTGCACGTGGTGCTGCTGGTAATGCTGCTGCACGTGGTGCTGCTGGTAATGCTGCTGCACGTGCTGCTGCTGGTAATGCTGCTGCACGTGCTGCTGCTGGTAATGCTGCTGCACGTGCTGCTGCTGGTAATGCTGCTGCACGTGGTGCTGCTGGTAATGCTGCTGCACGTGGTGCTGCTGGTAATGCTGCTGCACGTGGTGCTGCTGGTAATGCTGCTGCACGTGCTGCTGCTGGTAATGCTGCTGCACGTGGTGCTGCTGGTAATGCTGCTGCACGTGGTGCTGCTGGTAATGCTGCTGCACGTGGTGCTGCTGGTAATGCTGCTGCACGTGGTGCTGCTGGTAATGCTGCTGCACGTGGTGCTGCTGGTAATGCTGCTGCTGGTAATGCTGCTGTACCTGCTGCTGCTGGTAATGCTGCTGCACCTGCTGCTGCTGGTAATGCTGCTGCACGTGCTGCTGCTGGTAATGCTGCTGCACGTGCTGCTGCTGGTAATGCTGCTGTATGTGGTGCTGCTGGTAATGCTGCTGCACGTGGTGCTGCTGGTAATGCTGCTGCACGTGCTGCTGCTGGTAATGCTGCTGCTGGTAATGCTGTTGCTGGTAATGCTGCTGCACGTGCTGCTGCTGGTAATGCTGCTGCACGTGGTGCTGCTGGTAATGCTGCTGCACCTGCTGCTGCTGGTAATGCTGCTGCACGTGCTGCTGCTGGTAATGCTGCTGCACGTGGTGCTGCTGGTAATGCTGCTGCACGTGGTGCTGCTGGTAATGCTGCTGCACGTGGTGCTGCTGGTAATGCTGCTGCACGTGCTGCTGCTGGTAATGCTGCTGCACGTGGTGCTGCTGGTAATGCTGCTGCACGTGGTGCTGCTGGTAATGCTGCTCCTCCACTGCCACTCTTGCTACAGCTGTTGAGTTTGTTGTTGAACCTTCACTATAAAAGGTGGCGGGGTTCATGTTGCCATAGTGACGGATGGTGGCGGGGTTCATGTTGCCATGGTGACGGATGGTGGCGGGGTTCATGTTGCCATGGTGACGGATGGTGGCGGGGTTCATGTTGCCATGGTGACGGGGTTCATGTTGCCATGGTGACGGGGTTCATGTTGCCATGGTGGCGGGGTTCATGTTGCCATGGTGACGGATAGTTTAGTTCTGGGGTTCCAGATGTTGCCACGGCGACCAGAGGAATGTAGACGCAGGAAGAACAACAAACAGGGAAGAGGAGATAGGAAGAGATAAGAGTGGAAGTGGTACAGATATACATGGAAACAGAAGAGAGAATGCGAGAAGGAAGTAGAGGAGATGAGGAGAAGAAAACCACACACACACAACCAATAACAACAAAAATAAAAAAACAGGGCCGGAAGAAAAGATAATCTTAAGTAAATACAAAGAGGAATAAATAGAAAGAGAGAGAATGAAAATGATAAAGAGAGGAGAGAAGTGGAGAGAAGACTGAGCGGAGGAAACAAACAAACACCTTCAGAGGAGCTGCGACATCGGTATTCAAATATAATATAAATTACGAAAAGAAAGAATTTTAATATTCGCTGAAAGTGTCGTCTGTGAGACGGGGAATGTTACGTCCAGGACGGGGAATAGGAGTGGGTGGTGGCTGAGGGAGAGGACGGGGGGGGATAGGAGTGGGTGGTGGCTGAGGGAGAGGACGGGGGGGGGATAGGAGTGGGTGATGGCTGAGGGAGAGGACGGGGGGGGGGGGGATAGGAGTAGGTGGTGGCTGAGGGAGAGGACGCGGGGGGGATAGGAGTGGGTGTTGGTTGAGGGAGAGGACGGGGGGAGGGATAGGAGTGGGTGGTGGCTGAGGGAGAGGACGGGGGGGGGGATAGGAGTGGGTGGTGGCTGAGGGAGAGGACGGGGGGGGGGGGATAGGCGTGGGTGGTGGCTGAGGGAGAGGACGGGGGGGGGATAGGCGTGGGTGGTGGCTGAGGGAGAGGACGGGGGGGGATAGGCGTGGGTGGTGGCTGAGGGAGAGGACGGGGGAGGGGGATAGGCGTGGGTGGTGGCTGAGGGAGAGGACGGGGGGGCGATAGGAGTGGGTGGAGCCTAAGGGAGAGGACGGGGGGCGATAGGAGTGGGTGATGGCTGAGGGAGAGGACGGGGGGGATAGGAGTAGGTGGTGGCTGAGGGAGAGGACGGGGGGGGGATAGGAGTGGGTGTTGGTTGAGGGAGAGGACGGGGGGGGGGATAGGAGTGGGTGGGTGGCTGAGGGAGAGGACGGGGGGGGGGATAGGAGGTGGGTGGTGGCTGAGGGAGAGGACGGGGGGGGGATAGGAGTGGGTGGTGGCTGAGGGAGAGGACGGGGGGGGGGGGATAGGCGTGGGTGGTGGCTGAGGGAGAGGACGGGGGGATAGGCGTGGGTGGTGGGGGTGGGTGGCTGAGGGAGAGGACGGGGGGGGATAGGCGTGGGTGGTGGCTGAGGGAGAGGACGGGGGGGGATAGGCGTGGGTGGTGGCTGAGGGAGAGGACGGGGGGGGATAGGCGTGGGTGGTGGCTGAGGGAGAGGACGGGGGGGGATAGGAGTGGGTGGTGACTGAGGGAGAGGACGGGGGGGGGATAGGAGTGGGTGGTGGCTGAGGGAGAGGACGGGGGGGATAGGAGTAGGTGGTGGCTGAGGGAGAGGACGGGGGAGGGCGATAGGAGTGGGTGGTGGCTGAGGGAGAGGACGGGGGGGGGGATAGGAGTGGGTGGTGGCTGAGGGAGAGGACGGGGGGGGGATAGGAGTGGGGTGGTGACTGAGGGAGAGGACGGGGGGGGGGGATAGGAGTGGGTGGTGGCTGAGGGAGAGGACGGGGGGGGGGGGATAGGAGTAGGGGTGGCTGAGAGAGAGGACGGGGGGGGGGCGATAGGAGTGGGTGGTGGCTGAGGGAGAGGACGGGGGGGGATAGGAGTGGGTGGTGGCTGAGGGAGAGGACGGGGGGGATAGGAGTGAGTGGAGCCTGAGAGAGGACGGGGGGGGGGATAGGAGTGGGTGGAGCCTAAGGGAGAGGACGGCGGGGGGGGGATAGGAGTGGGTGGAGCCTGAGGGAGAGGACGGGGGGGGATAGGAGTGGGTGGAGCCTGAGGGAGAGGACGGGGGGGATAGGAGTGGGTGGAGCCTGAGGGAGAGGACGGGGGGGGGATAGGAGTGGGTGGAGCCTAAGGGAGAGGACGGGGGGGATAGGAGTGGGTGGAGCCTAAGGGAGAGGACGGGGGGGGATAGGAGTGGGTGGTGGCTGAGGGAGGACGGGGGGGGTAGGAGTGGGTGGTGGCTGAGGGAGGACGGGGGGGATAGGAGTGGGTGGAGCCCTGAGGGAGAGGACGGGGGGATAGGAGTGGGTGGAGCCTAAGGGAGAGGACGGGGGGGGATAGGAGTGGGTGGAGCCTGAGGGAGAGGACGGGGGGGATAGGAGTGGGTGGAGCCTGAGGGAGAGGATGGGGGGATAGGAGTGGGTGGAGCCTGAGGGAGAGGACGGGGGGGGATAGGAGTGGGTGGTGGCTGAGGGAGAGGACGGGGGGGGATAGGAGTGGGTGGAGCCTAAGGAGAGGACGGGGGGGGGATAGGAGTGGGTGGAGCCTGAGGGAGAGGACGGGGGGGGATAGGAGTGGGTGGAGCCTAAGGGAGAGGACGGGGGGGATAGGAGTGGGTGGAGCCTGAGGGAGAGGACGGGGGGGGGGGGGGGGGATTGGAGTGGGTGGAGCCTAAGGGAGAGGACGGAGGGGGGATAGGAGTGGGTGGTGGCTGAGGGAGAGGACGGTGGGATAGGAGTGGGTGGTGGCTGAGGGAGGACGGGGGATAGGAGTGGGAACTACTCTGCTAGCACTGGTATAAACTACAAGAATATCTATAGATAACAACTTGTACCGGGAACACATGTGAGCGAGACAAATCAATACGATTATTTGGTTATGTAGGAGTTTCTTCACAGGAGATGGAGACGCAGCCTTATATTGCAACCTCTTCTCTCAAGCTGATATTAAAGGAGGGTGAAAAGAGTGACAGTAGGGTGACAGGAGGGGCAGGAGGGTGACAGGAGGGTGACATGAGGGTGACAGGAGGGTGACAGGAGGGGCAGGAGGGTGACAGGAGGGGGGGGGGGCCAGAGAGGCGTGAGTGAGTCTACCGAACCAATAACAAAACACAGTGTAATGACTGACATGCTCATGAATGTCTATGCAATTTATCGTAAATATCTTCTGATATAGTACACAGTAAACATGGGAGTAAAAGGAACAAGGAGAGACATGGTTGGGATAAAGGAGACATGCGTCCCAAGCCCCAGTAACGTTGACAAAAGCATTTTCTTGGTTGAGAGTTGCTGTCAGCCTGGCCGGCCGGCCGCCCCGCCTCTACCACTAATTATATGTGATGTGTGATGCTCTGACTCGGCAGGTCTACGGAAGTGAGATCAGTTAATGAAGATGGTTGGACTGTCTGGAAGATCATTTGACCAAGGACTTGATCAAGGAAGGGTACTATCAGGAGAAAGGGCCAAGTCATTACGAGTATGGAAGGGGTCAGGATAAGGATTTGGGATGGGACGGGGGGGGGGGGGGGGGAAGGAATGGTGCCTAACAACTTGGAAGGTCGGGGATTGAACGCCGACCTGCATGAAGCGAGACTGTCGTTCTACCGTCCAGCCTAAGTGGTTGGGATGGGGGGGGGGGGACTTTCTGGGAGGAAATATTTCCATCCTTAACTTACACTCGGGTCCGGGAGACACACCTGGTAGCCCTCAGGTCCGGGAGACACACCTGGTAGCCCTCAGGTCCGGGAGACACACCTGGTAGCCCTCAGGTCCGGGAGACACACCTGGTAGCCCTCAGGTCCGGGAGACACACCTGGTAGCCCTCAGGTCCGGGAGACACACCTGGTAGCCCTCAGGTCCGGGAGACACACCTGGTAGCCCTCAGGTCCGGGAGACACACCTGGTAGCCCTCAGGTCCGGGAGACACACCTGGTAGCCCTCAGGTCCGGGAGACACACCTGGTAGCCCTCAGGTCCGGGAGACACACCTGGTAGCCCTCAGGTCCGGGAGAGACACCTGGTAGCCCTCAGGTCCGGGAGACACACCTGGTAGCCCTCAGGTCCGGGAGACACACCTGGTAGCCCTCAGGTCCGGGAGACACACCTGGTAGCCCTCAGGTCCGGGAGACACACCTGGTAGCCCTCAGGTCCGGGAGACACACCTGGTAGTCCTCAGGTCCGGGAGAGACACCTGGTAGCCCTCAGGTCCGGATCTCGCTACATTACCCAACTGTATCGTTACGTAAGTAGTCTGCGACTCATGAGGAGCTCCGTGTGGTCCGTGAGTATATATGGAGCACTATAGTCCGTGAGTATACATGGAGTACTATGGTCCGTGAGTATACATGGAGCACTATGGACCGTGAGTATACAAGGTGTGATCCCTTAGTATACCAAATGACTGAAGTATGGGGCACCGACCCATATTTGCGCTACACAAGTCGGTAAGGGACGTCCCGTGTAAGGGACCGACTAAACAAAGCCAAAGCAGCCTTAGGAAAACTGAGGAGATACCGAAGCCTCAGTACAAACATTCAGATCCACCTATACAAGGCTCTAGTTCGGCCTCATCTAGATTATCCCCCAGTACCACTACACACCATAAAGAAAACTAACATGCAGAAACTGCAAGCAGTGCAAAATAAGGCGCTAAGGAGAGCAGCAAAACACCGTCCACCATATGATCAGACAATCCAGGAGCTCCATGAACTCCTTAACATACAGCCACTAAACATCAGACTGCAGCACCAAGCCATCAGGGTGTGAACACCATCGAAATGTTAGAGGACCCAATGTTAGAAAGATTGCTCCAAGATGAGACGCCCCGCTCCCACAGCTGGTGGCCCAAGATGAGACGCCCCGCTCCCACAGCTGGTGGCCCAAGATGAGACGCCCCGCTCCCACAGCTGGTGGCCCAAGAGCCTCGATTTACTAGATGAAAACCCCGCCCCACAGTATATAATTGGATTGGCACTGCAGGCATGAATGGCTTTTAATATTATTTCAATTCCTCTGTGACAGTCTTAGGAAG